TTTAACACATTGAAGAATGATGATGGCGTCGCAAAGATGCTCAAAAATTCGAGAACCATTGGGGCATATAACACATAGTAATGTGAATATTGAAGCGAAGCGGCGCCTTTTTATTTTCTATAAATACAAGATTATACAATGCAATTCGGTGTGCAGAAAAATACAACCCTTTATTACGAAAATAAACCCTTTGGACCATATTCAAGGCTGCAGAATAAGGAGGCACACTTTTGAAGATCACAACAAGAAAGATTGAGAAAATTGTTATTCTTTCTATTGATTTACGTTGTTTTGTGAAAATCTTCTTAGGTCGTCTGGTATACCGGCAACGAAGGGGCTCGTGGTCTACGTGGCCACAAGCGTTGTCCGTGCACACCAGCTCGGACCTTCGTGGTCGTAGTGATTTGTGGTGGGGAGGACGGAAGACCACAACCGTTGCCTCTCTCAGCCAACCTTCTTCTTCTCCCTCTCTCTCCGTTCGTTGTCGTCTCCGGTACACCAACACCATTCCGTGGTTCGTGAAGGTCCTCGTGTTCCGTTCTTCATGACAAGCATTGCAGATGACCTGTACATGCTACCGAACGTTGACATTTTTGTAATTAACTCCAATATTTTATAATGGTTATGAAATAACATAGAAATATATTTGCAGTTAAACTTTATTTTAGAAACTATGATTTGACATATCTTAAAGTTTTGTTTCATGGAGTTGCCTTTATTGGAAAGTGGAAACTACCCTTGCTTATTAAAAACCATTTGATGCAATTTTTTTATAGTTATTTAGTAATATTCTAATTATTGATTTAACACGTATAACATAGTACATATAATATTCACAAAACATAGGAAACGATCATTAAGTTTTAATGGTTTTTTTTAGAACTTCTATACTTCAAAAAATTGTATAAATTTTTATAATTTACAACCGATAAGAATTATAGTTTCTTGATTTTGAATGTTTAATTTATCCATTTTAATAGTACTTGACACAAAATTATGAAATTTCTGTCACCATAATAATATAAAAATGAAACCAAAGATAACTAAACAGATGATCAATGTATTAGCAATCACACATTATTTTAAAGGTGTTATTATATGTACCTCTCACTTACATAAATTACTATATTTACATGAGGAGGCAAAACAATTTGGAATGTACGCTATAGAATTTTCCTATTTTAATTTCCCAAACACTTTTTCAATAGTACATGGTGATGTAAACTCTTCTTAATATGACTTAATCTCAATTAAACTCACATTTTTTTTTTCAATTATATATTATTTTAAACTCCCAAACTTTTATTCAATAATAGATGATGACGTGAACTCTTCCCATCTAAGACTTAATCCCAATTAAAATTTGACACTCAAATAATACTTTGCTTTTAGCTTAATTGGTCCATACCTACCACACCAATTCACCATATAAATTCCATTCCAACTTTCCATTTTTGTCCATTCCACAATTTTATGTATTTGACAAATCTAAATCAAAACGAACACGAAACATGCAAACTTATGGTTGAAAGCTGTCTCAGATGTTTTATTATTTCATCTATATTATGGAGAATAATCATGTGGAACGATTAAAGCATATCCTTATGATAAAACGATAAGACTGGTCAAAGAAAACGATATTATATTTCTTTTCGACTGTAGACCCCACTTGCTTTTGTTTTTGTTGTAATAATGGACGTATTCTTAGTCACTACATGATGGTGTAAGATATTGGTGTACAATTGACGGTTTTGTTTGTTTCATATGTTACAAAAAAGGACATTATGTGAACAAGTGGTTTTTCTAAAGAACATAGTTATATATTTAAATTATTTATCTTCTGAGCAATCGTGAATGTATTGATAATACTGGTTTTTATATTTTCAAGAGTCGCCTTCAAAGATGTTTGTCGAACAACCGAGATGAATAATAGCTGCCATATACTCGAAGCCATTTTAAATATTAGAAAATGAGATTTAAGTTAAAACTATGGAGTTATAAAAACTAAAGTCCAAAACATACAACTTAGATAATATCAAATCACGGTTTATTCAAGAATTTGAACCTTAATTTTCTTCCTTGATATCACCCAAACCATATTTTATTGGACCAAAATTATGACACAACACCAATAAATATCTAAATTATGACTCGACACCAAATGAATATTCTTTTCTATCTCATAATTCATAAAAGAATGTTAAAAATTCATATATATACTTTTTGTCAACCATGTGGAATACCCTTCACTAAATTAATAGTTAAAGATTCTTATATATCTAAATAAATACATTAATTTAATTGTAAAGTAATAAAGTACTTGTAACTTCTGAAAAAGTTTGGATAACAACGTTAAACTCAAATATAACATGTTAAGTTGTGAACACAAATAATTATAAGATTTACAATTTCATTGTTGTGGAACTTAAGAAAAGCAAACTGTTAAGACATTAAAAATATAAAAGAAAAACGTTAAAAAAACATTTTTACAAAAATTACCAAATTGAAAAAGAAAAGTATTTTCCACTTGGCATTAAAAACTATTAATAAAATAAGAAAGATATCCCCCTTTTCTATATCCCATTTATGACCTATTTTACAATTATCAGTAAAACAGTTCTTTTGCTATTTCAACATTATCTTGCTATGTCAATTCCATTCCATCATGATCCTATTATCATTGGAATCCGAACATTGGACTGAAAAAACTTGATTGGTTTAAGTTGTTTTGATGGGTGTCTTCAAACTTGATGGGATGCGATTCCCTTACCCTCGTTTCCAAGATTGGAGTTGACGATTGAGGCATGATTCCAATTCCTGTTTCGATTCCGACATTGTTTTCATAGTTTGTGTTGTGATCATCTAAAAGATGAGAAATCGAACCTAATGATTCCAATTCCCATAAATGAGCAAGTGAAAACGTCCTCGGAATTTTCATTGATTGCAAATCCATGGGATTATGATCATCGGAAACAACATTTTCGGCGTTTGAATCTTCTTCTCTTTGTTCCAAAGGTTTTGCAGCAGTTTTCTTCTTGTAAATTCGACATAGAACCCAATCATCAAGCTGAAAAACATGAAAAACACGTAAATCAGATGAGTTTTACCAATGATTCAATCAATTCGGAAAACATGATGCGAATTGAAATCGTTCTTACCCTCATTGATCCGAGTTTCTTAGGGGGTTGTGATCGAGACTCTTTCAATCGATACTCATGCATAATCCAATCGGTTTTAACCCCCTTTGGAGGTCTACCTTTGTAGAACACCAAAGCTTTCTTCACGCCAACGTATTTTGATCCACTGTAAATCGCTTTATCTGTCCCTGTAGCTTTCCAATACCCTGAAACAGCTGCTCGATTTGGGCGAACTCCATTTGGGTATTTTCTATCGCGAGGTGTGAAGAAATACCATTCGTTTTCTTCGAATTCCGTTTTCTCTGTTTTCAAAATTCAAAACAATCAACATAAACTCTATAGTTCATAACCAATCACAAACTAAATCAAAACACTAACCAGGCAACTCCCATGGGTCAAATTTGTAGATATCAACTTCAGGGATTATAGAAACAGGACATGGTTTAGATAACGACTGGTTTCGCAGATAGAACATGATCAATTCTTCATCGGTGGGGTGAAATCGAAACCCAGGTGGGAGATTACAGTTGTTTTCCCTTCCAACCATGTTTAACCAAAAGGGTGTTCGAACTTCGAAGAAGAGATGAAAGGAGGAATTGATTGACTGAAAAGGGGGGAAGAGAAGTGAGAGTGTTTGAAATGTTGGCAAGGAGAAGGGATGCGAATTTATGTGAGGGGTTTATTTGTCGATATGTGAAGATTACATCATTCTTGATCTTGATTGGTTGGTTTGACTTTTGACTTTTTACTTTTTATTTGAGTTCCAATAGAGACTTGGCACACACCCATACTTGCAAGATTAGGTAATACACACCACACACAAGTATTAATTTAATAGGAATCATCCATACTCCTTATGGGAATATCTTTTTTTTTTTTTTAATTTTCTTTTTTGTGGTGCTTTAACAAACTTTTATTTTATGGGCACACTCAATTGACAAGTCTCAATTAAGATTCCAATATGTGATATTAGGCCATGAGGAATATCGGCACCGTATATCATTTCCATTCCAATAGGTAGTTGTTTTTTTTTTTCAATTTTTTTTTAACTATTATATAGAATTTCTACCGCAAAGCGTCCACCATCTTTTGAAAGACGAAATTGTTAAGGTTTTAAGAACAAAAACGAAATTTAAAAAAAAAAAATTCAGACTTTTTGTTATTATTTTTTATCGTTTTTATCTAGCCGTAATGTTTTTTATTATAGAATTAATGAGATATTTCTATTTTATTATATTAAATATTTATATAATTATTAAATTATATTTTTATATATTTATTTAAAAAACAAAAATAAATGGTAATGTGAACCCACTATTTCCTATTGAGGGGTGAAAAAAGAATGGGTTAATGTCATAAAAACCCTCAAGTTTTTTGAGTTTTGTCGGTTTTGTCCAAAGTTAAATTTTATGTCTTTTTTTACCTTAATATTTTCGAAAAAATGTTCGATTTTACCCTTTTACCGGTGATAACAGGTTTTCCAAGTTAACATTATATTAAATTCGCAAAAAACCCTTAAGTTTACCGTTTTTTTGCATTTTTACCCTTAAGTTTATAATTTTTTTACACTTTTGCCCTAAGTAATTTTTTTCATAATATACGTATTCATGTAGAAAAATCGTATTTATATCCGAAAAAATGTTTAATTAAATATTGTATTTATATTTTTTTTAATGTTATATATATATATATATATATTTGTTTGTTTGTGTGTGTGTGTTTTTGCAAGGTTATACCGTTTAAAAATATAAATAATATTTTTAGAATTATGAATACATGTTTTATAGATACAGTTTTTAGAAGTATAAATACATATTGTTACATTTTTATATATTAATATGTATCTATATTTCTAAAAATGCATTTATACTTTAAAAAAAACATATATCAAAATACATATTTACACTTCTAAAAATATATGTATATACTTATATAAACATGTTTATGATTGAACAAGTTTTTTTTATTGATATGTATATTTTTAAATACATAAAAATACGTATTTGTAGTTCTAAAGACATATTAATTTGTGTTTTTTTACATCTTAAATGGTTTATCCAAGAAAAAAACTCATACACACACACACATACACACACACACACATATATATATATATATATATATATATATATATATATATAAAGAAATAACATTAAGAAAATGTAAATACAATATTTAATTAAAACTTTTTCGTATATAAATATGATTTTTCTGTATGAATACGTATAATATGAAAAAAAAATACATAGGGTAAAAGTGTAAAAAAAATTATAAACTTAAGGGTAAAAACGTAAAAAACTATAAACTTAAGGGTTTTTTGCGAAGTTAATATAATGGTAACCTGTTATCACTGGTAAAAGGGTAAAACCGAACATTTTTTGGAAAATGTTAGGGTAAAAACGGACATAAAATTCAATTTTGGGCAAAACCGACAAAACCCTAAAAACTTGAGGGTTTTTATGACATTAGCCCAAAAAGAATATGTAAGGAAAAAGTGAGAGAAAGTGAAACGATAAACCTTTGGCCTCAAGTTAGTTATATAGATGAGTTTTTTTTTTGTGTTTTTAGGCTTTAGTAACAAAAATCCTTAAGGATGTAATGATTGATCATATATAGTTAGTAGTCATGACTTCAATAATGTAAATGTAATCACAATTCACAAGTTTCGATTTTAGTTTGCAATTATTAGGGAGGAGGGAGTCATTCCCTTCCAGCCCACTGAACCCACTGTCACATCATTTTTTCTTTTTCATTTCTCATCATCTTTCCCAACTCATAACACACGGAAATCCTATCTTTTGAACCCACTCAACTCATTCAATTAAAAAAAATACAAAACAATCAATGTAAAATCTTAATTAGCAATAGAGTTACTGTCGGTACCACTTCCGCTTCAGCGGGTTGTTTAATTGGTTTTCATTAACCGACTTCATCCTCTCTCTCTCATTTTCTTTTGTACCATGTTTTTAAAACATGTATCTTAGTTGTTTTGTATTTTTTTTAATTGAGTGGGTTGAGTGGTTTGAGAAATATAGGATTTCCGTGTGTTGTGGGTTGGGAAAGATGAAGAAGAGACAAAAATTGATGTGACAGTGGGTTCAGTGGGTTGGGAGGGAATGACTTCCTCCTCCCTTAAGGATGTTTTAGGAAAATCAAGGATTTGAGTACTCTGTAATTGAACTTAAAAATCACAAAAAGAGATGTATACCTGACGATTAAGGGTGGTAGGATCATGGCAGGACCAAAAGAGGGAGAGCAGGTTGGTGTATGGACAAACAGATGGGTCCAATTCAACCCGGACAACTTCAGTGTAACTGGTGGTTCATGTGCAGACCAATCGTTAATTAGGGTTATGGACATGACCTTCATAGCAGCTGACTTCTGTTTTCACTACTTCTTCCAGACGTTGGAGGGCTAGGTCCACGCCCCAGAGGCTTTCGAACGCATAATTCCTTGGCTAATGGTAAGCATTTTCTGGTAGCCCTCTCGCTGGTGCGTCGACCAGCGCAGTCCCTTTTTTCTGTGCCCGTGAGTCAACTGTGCAGGACGAAGGTATCAGAAAAATGAAAGAAATAAGAAGAGACCCAATTAATTTTTTTACCTGATTCCAGCGACATCATTAGCTACCCCGGAGTCCTGCGAGTCAGTTACCATACACCGCCGTCAGTTCATGTGGTGCTACAAAAGAGAAGGCAATTCCTCCCTTCCATTATTGATATTGTTAAGAGAGGAAGAAATAGAAGGTCGCGATGGCAGTGTGCGGTGGTTTTCCTCAGTTCAGATAAATGGGTTGGGATTCTGATAATATAAGCATAACCAGTAAATATGTTGTTGTTGATTTAGAACCCTAGCCTAACCCATAAACAGCTAAACCCTTAATCTGAATTTCAGAGTCGAAATTATACCCTTAATCTGAATTTCAGAGTCGAAATTATGCTCCCTCACTGGCAATGCTCCTCACCACCGCAGCCTCTTGACGTCGACGCGGAATCAAAATAGTAACGCAAAGAAGCAAAGAAGAATATAAGCAAAACACAAACGAACCGTATTGGAGGAGAAAGGCGGCAACCGACCTTGACGAAAAGAAGATAAGCACGAAGCAAAGTAGAAGTTCCAAGTGAGGAAAAGAAGATAATCACCAGCAAAAGCGGAAGTTCCAGGGGAAAAATAAGAAAAGAGAAGACTTCCGTGTGCAAATAAGAAAGAGAGGAAAGATAATTGTAGCTAAGGTTTTAGGAATTGATAGTATATATAATAAAGATATTTTTGTTAAAGTATATATTTTGTAAATGTTAGTATCTTTTAAATGAAAAAAATTGTATGGTATAATCAAGATTATTTCTTCACAAAATTTGATAAACTGTGTCTTTAGACGTCAAAGATACTCCTTCATGATTACTGATGTGCTATATA